GCGAGTATCCAGTTAAACACAGTCAGTTTTGGAACGTTAAATAGTTGCGAAAGAGAACGCATGCTCCGTCCGTGGATAAACTCTTAAAGGGACCGCAGTCCAATATTCCTGCTGCTGTCTGTCATGTTAATCAAAGAACAAAAGACAAAGAAAATCACTTTCTGCTCTTGACTCCATACGTTTTATAACTTTAATGGTAAGCATTAATCTGTATTTAATTTTTACAACGAAGACTACAGAAATTTAAATCAAATGTAAAGTAACACTGGATGTGTTATTTTACATTTGATTACTTTAGCATTTCTTACCTGAATAAAAACGTACTTAACCTGAAAAACTTAGTTTCATAGCTCTCTTTATTCCATTGCATTTATTTGTGCTGTCGTTTGCAATTTTTGTATTTGTTCTTATTTTATTAATTACTTTTTACTTGTTTTTTTATGAAAATAAAACGTTGCGTTGAAGAAAAGTAGATTTTAGTTTGTATATGCTCTCAATTATAGTTCTTAGAAAGAAAATCGGAATCGGCAAAAATCGGTATCGGCAGATCACACTAACAAAAAATCGGAAATCGGAATCGACCAAGAAAATTGCAATCGGTGCATCTCTACTTTTGAGGGATTAATTGCAAAAGTGTCGTGACATACTTCCAATTTAAAAATAATGTGGGTCACTTGTTTCCGGTCAAGTATGTCCGGTCTACTGCGGTCGCCTAGTTCCTGAAAAACCAAACACAGTGGCTTGAAAACATACAGTTCAAACAAAGCATAGGACACATCAATGTGGGTCAAAGTAGACTAGTAAAGAGTGTATTACCAGTGCTCTTTGAGTGAAACAACTACACTTCAAATACAGCAATGCTCCAACACTAAATCATTGTTTATAAACAAACAATGTCATTGCAATAAAATTCTGAAATGTACTAGTATAATTGATCATTTAGCAATATTATATATATAAAAAAAATTTTTTTTAAGCTTTGGTTTATAAACGCCTCTTGAGTTCAGTTGGTTGGATGCTTTTGGCAACAACATTGTGGTCAGCACAAACCATATTTTCCCTCACTGCAAGTGAACCTGTATTTAATGTAGTCCGGTTTGTTCTTTCATTTGCCATGTTCCTGTCTTTTAGGAAGACAAGGGCACGTCACGCAACCTGTTCGGTATTTGCCTAATTTGTCTAGTTTCTACCAAGCAAGAGATGAATAATTTGACTGCTTTTTATTGAAAGACACAGGCAACACTTTCTCCTCCCATTTAAAGTCAATTTATTTTGCTTTTCTAACCAGCTGGGAACCACTGATCTAACACAATGAATAGAATATGAAGAAAATCACCTTTGCATTTTTACCCAAAAATGTAGCCATGAAACTTTTTTCATCTTTGGAATCTTTCATCCATTGAAAGTAATCAATACGAATCCAGCGGTTTAATTTAATCCATGATCGCTTTATATGATGAAGAGATTTCATTTCTTTTCTTCTCATATAAACATTGATCAATGCACATACAGCACATTAAACATGGTAAAACAGAACGCTGTGCATTATGTGCAAAAACCAATCAGGTTTATTCTTCTTATTCTTATTCTTGAGATAAATCACTGTGCACTGAATGCTTTTAGCAGAAATGCAGTAGTTGTACTAAACAGAACACAGGAGTAGTTGTGAAATGTTTGAAACTACCAAAGAGGTTTTAAATGAAAGTAATCAATATTAAAAAATAAAGTATATTTTATCTGCAATATTCAGATTTTGTCCATATAAAAGTTTTGCATGCTCATAAAACTAAAACTTAACTTTGCCATACTAGTTTTTGAAGTGTGCACTTACAGGCCGCCGCTTTGCCATGCACAAGCTGAAGAATCTTAAGCGTAGGCGTGCTGTGATCAAATTGGTGGCCTTTGCGCTAAAGCTATAGAAACACTGTGGCTAATACACAGGAAGTATGACAAGAGACAGTCTAGAGCTTATTACAATTCATATTCAACTTAGACATGTCTTATTAGCTCCAAGGTCTATCTGCACCTTAAAAGCACAGTCTGAGTTAATTGCAAACAAGCTTGCATTGTGCAGTCCAGCCTTCGAACGCACAGACTTACTCTGCAAATGTCAGAAGTCTCTGCTCGCTGAGATGGCAACAGCACTCCTTACACAGAAGCAAACGCCTGGCTCTCAGTCTTGCACTCAAGGACGACTGAAGCACTTTGAAAAACAACTGAAACGGTACATATTTTAAGCAAAATGCTCCTTGCGTTATTATTTTCTGGTTGACTAATGAACAAGCTTTGTGCATTGAATGGCTTTCTTGAAGTAAATGATACAAGGTAACGGATTCAACATGGAGTTTATGGCAACATGTTAATATCAACCATGTTAATGTGAAAAATGCTGAAATAGCTTTTCATCTGATCACTTGTTTCAGAAAACACTGTTCACATACTGCCTAAAAAGTGCAATGAATGTGAATGTTTCTGGGTTTGATATTTTTCCAAACATTTCTCTGTTCTTACTAAATTCATTTTATGAAATAGTTGTGAGCAAAAGAAACATAAGAGTAAAGTAAAATATATACATTTTAAACGTGTGGGGATGTGGATATGTAACATATACAGGGCCGTTTGAAAATTGAGAAATTAAGTTGATTTTATTTCTATCCTTTTTTTCCCCTCACTCCCGTTTTTCTACATTATTTATACATTTCAAAATAATAAAGCAGTCAGTAGTAATGAAGCTTAACTAGTTGTATTTATTTTAATTATTTCTCGTGTAATTATTATACATCACTAATTTTCTAATAAAGTTCAGTACTATTTTCATCAACTGAAAAGCTTTCATCAAATTTTTAATTTTCATGTTATTATTGATTTTGTTTTTTTTATCCGTTTAATCGGTATCAGCGATTTCTAATACAGACATTATGAATTCTTGTTGTATGGAAAGACTTTTTTTTTTAGAAATGTCTTCTTTTATGTTCCAAATACAGGTTTAAAAACAAAAAGAATATGAGGGTGATAATTAATAAATAAAAGTAAAAAAAATTAGGCATCTGAGAGGTTCAAGGCTGGGTAAAACACATAATTGCTCACTTATTCAAATGAGGATGAACCTTTACAAAAGAAACAAAATACAGGCTGCATTTCAGAGTTGACTGTTCGACTTTTAGCACTTTAATATTTCATGACAAGGAAAGTAAAATCCAGCCATAATACATGTGCATCTACTATCAGCACAGGCCTCTGAATGAAGTCCCAACCAAACCATGTCTGTCACTCAAAATTGTTCACTTTTTTTGTCTATTCATCAGACTTCACATGCGTTTGTAATAATAAACTGCAAATATAACCTTGCAGATGTAATGCCATCTGTCCTATAGATGACCACCCCCGCAATGTTTACATGAAGACAGAATGACCTACTAAACAGCTCACATTTCTACACTTCTGAGACCTCGCCGATTAGACACATCTGCATTCAACGCTTAGCGTAATTTGCGCGTTATGGCCAATATCAGATTATATTCTGACCTACTAACACTTCACAAGACCCTGAACTCACCATGGCCCCCTTCAAAAACAAATAGCGTCAACCTAACCCGTCGCGATTCTGGGCCAACGCCCACGTAATGGCGTCTTCTGATTGGCTGCATGCACATTTATAGCCCGCCTCCGCAACCAAACGATTGCACCTACTCGATGTCAATCAAGCACAATCGTAGCGCTTGGTTGAGCTGACAAGCAACAAACAATATTGCAGGCCTCCCTCATGTTACGTAAACAGATGGAATGCAAAGCATTATCTCCTCATAAACTTTTAGTTTACACACAAACACTACATTTTGACGTTTTTACAACGCAGCTGGCAAATGAACATCATTTCGCGATAAAACGACTCGTCCAAACGGATAACAAATTGCGTTTTAAAGCGTTCGAGCTTCTTTTGATGCACAATCAAAACAGTTTAAAATCGATTCGGATAGTTATCTATGTGCCAAAGGCTGTCCGCAGAGACTATCGTGTTTCCATTTCACTTTGCATCGTGCTGATGGGGGCGTGTGCCCTTACAGACTTAGTGGGGTTCATTCTAGTAATGCATCGTCAAATCATCTGAATACAAAGAAGAAGAAAAAGTTTACAAATCACTGATCACCTCATATATATATATATATATATCAGATCACCTTAGTGGAACATATTTCTGATAAGCAGATCTACACAACTTTCAAACAATGGTCTGAAATGTCGCGGAGTGCTGTAAATGCATGACTAGGCTTTCCAAGTTCATCCGGGGGTTTCATAAAACCAACGATATCCAGCCTAATCATTTACCTCCAGTAAAAAAAAAGGATAGTTTCTCTTAGAACAATAGTTTTCGATTCTGAGCACCTATACTTAATACACTTGATTTATATAATCAGCTTATTAATAAAGGACCTGGGTGTGTCAACTAGAGGAGATGTCCAAAAGGTGCAGTGATGGGGACCAAGCAATGTTCTAGAAGTTCTCGAGTAATTGAAAGCTAACAACATCTCCTGCTCTTACTCAGCACCAATGACTGGCCAGCTAAGCAACCACGGGGAAAATACATATTGATCTAAAAGGACAAGGAGGAGATGTCCAAAAGGTGCAGTGATGGGGACCAAGCAATGTTCTAGAAGTTCTCGAGTAATTGAAAGCTAACATCTCCTGCTCTTACTCAGCACCAATGACTGGCCAGCTAAGCAACCACGGGGAAAATACATATTGATCTAAAAGGACAAACGGGCACCTCAAGCTGCAAAAACACTCAGCATATCGCTGTATCAGCGAGGGAAACAGCCGAGAACAGGTCAGGGTTTAAAGAGGAACCAGAGCGCTGCTTTCACACTATGGCCTCCGTGTCCCTCCCCTCTGCTAGCGAAAGTTAGCCAGAGAGCTAACTCCAGGAGACAGTGTTTTTATCATCCTTAAACAACTATGCTCACACACTTCACAGCGTTGTCATAGTCAGAAAGACGACTCACCTTTAAGCTACCCATATACTAGTACAAAAAAGGTTGTAATTCCAATTTGATCCGTCTTTAGGAAAACTTCATGTCATTTCTTCTCGATCCACGCCGTCTTCCTCTCTGGTTTGTTTTGTTTTGTTTATCTTCTTCCTGACGGGTTCCTGGAAAGCGCGTGACTGCCTTGTCACGTGCTCTCCCACTGGCCAATCAAGACGAGCGTTCGTTCTTGACCCAAAACAAGCTATTTAAATACCTTGGGCTGACCTGTGTGTACAGTTTCCCTGCAATATAAAACTATATTATAAATGTATTCATAATATGATGTAATTAATATAAAGCCTTTCTCGTGATCTTGAATGCTTTTTAATAAATTAGTGCTGGCTTTGTTTTTGTTTTTCTCAGTATTTTTTTTTTTTTTTTTTCAATTAATATTATTAGTATTTATCTTGGCGCAAGCATACACTCGGAGAGTAAGAAATACTTTTTTCTAATCCTGATATCTGTGTTAGCTTGCTGAAACATGCTGATTCATTGTCTTTTTTTATTGATCCCTCTCAATAACAATTAATAAACTAACAATATTCCATTAATCACAAAAGCAGAGTGTGAAGAGCTGTTTGCCAGGCAACTGCTAAATTAATAAAAAAAAAATAGATGGTTTCAAAAGTGCACCAAGTTTTATCCCAAGCCTCTGTGGTGGCACAGCATTTATGGATCGCAGCTGATCATGTCAATATCGCTGAAATGGTTAAACGCCACTGTTATTGATGAAAGCTCAAATATCATTTTGATTTTGGTTAATATTATTTCCCCATGCATGTATTAATTTTAATGAATAAAGCTAAATATCCATCCATTTTCCTCTTAGAAATGCAGATACAACAAATATAATAAGCTGATTGAATGACTTTAATTAAAGTTATATACTGTATTTTAAAGTTCAAATGCAAAAAAAAATTTTTTTTACACTACTGACCCCAAGTTTGTAATAATTAATATTTGAATATATTTATATGCTCACAGAGGCTGCATTTATTTGATACAGTAATATTGTAAAATATAGTATTACAATTTAAAAGAACTTAAGAGTTTTCCATTTGAATATTTCTAAAGCAAAGCTGAATTTTCAGCATCATTACTCCAGACTTCAGTGTCACATGATCCTTCAGAAATCATTCCGATATGCTGCTCAACAAATACTTCTTATTATTAATGTAGAAAACAGTTGCGCTTCTTAATATTTTGGTGAAAACTATGATATATCATTCAAAGCGTTGGGTTAATTAAGTTAAGGAAATAAAGTAAGAATGCATTAAACATACATTAAAGACATTTAGAATGCTACAAAAGATTATATTTCAAATAAATCCAGTTTTTAACTTTCTGTTCATCAAAGAATATTGAGAGAAAAAAATGTATCACAGTTTCCACTAAATTATTAAGCAGCAAAAACATTTTCAGCGTAAAAATAAGAACTATTATCATTAATTGATAATAATTGAGCACCAAATCAGCATTACAGAAACAAATTATTTTATATATATATATATATATATATATTTCACAATATTACTGCTTTTACTGAATTTTTGATCAAATAAATGGAGCTGTGGTGAGCATAACAGACTTCTTTCAAAAACATTAAAAAATTCTAATTATTCCAGACTTTTATTGGTAGTATACAGTGTGTATTGTTGCAACATAGACAAAATTAGGCTAATAATTCATTTTGTGCCTTAAATAGAAATGAATGTATTAAGTTTGCAAATAATGAAACATGTCTTTGTTAAAGGGATAGTTCACCCAAAAATGAAAATGTGATGTTTATCTGCTTACCCCCAGGGCATCCAGGATGTAGGTGACTTTGTTTCTTCAGTAGAACACAAACAAAGCTTTTTAACTCAAACCGTCGCAGTCTGTCAGTCTTATAATGTAAGTGGATGGGAATCACGGCTTTGAGAGTCAAAAAAACATACACAAACAAAACCAAATTAAACCCTGCGGCTCGTGACGATACGTTGATGTGTAAAGACACAAAACGATCGGTCTGTGCAAGAAACTGAACAGTATTTATATCGTTTTTTACCTCTGATTCACCGCAATGTCTGAACTGTCCTGAGCACTGACACTCTATCTACAATCTCAATTAGGAGTGTCAATAATCCATTTGAGAGATAGGTGGTGGTAATGCACTTATAAGTCTGCGATCCGCCGTAAAGCAAGAAGAAGAAAACGCCTCACACGCAGGCTGAAGAAGAAGATGTGAATGCTCTCAGGACAGTTCAGACATTGCGGTGAAAATCAGAGGTAAAAAAAACAATATATTGTTCAGTTTCTTGCACAGACCGATCGTTTTGTGTCTTTACACATCAACGTATCGTCACGAGCCGCAGGGTTTAATTTGGTTTTGTTTGTGTATGTTTTATGACTCTCAAAGCTGTGATTCCCATCCACTGACATTATAGGACTGACAGACTGCAACGGCTCGAGTTAAAAATCTCCGTTTGTGTTATACTGAAGAAACAAAGTCACCTACATCTTGGATGCCCTGGGGGTAAGCAGATAAACATCACATTTTCATTTTTGGGTGAACTATCCCTTTAACATTCACTACTCGCATTACATATCCATATACATTACATAATCCATAATATGTTCATTTAAAGGCAAATTCTAAATTTCAGTAGCTTTAGTATATAATGTGTTTGAGATGTCCTAGTGATTCCAAGTGGAACGAGTACAAGATTGCATCAGAGGGAAGGGCCTGTGTTTGCTTGTGCATGGCCTTGGGTCCGTCAGCAGGAATCTTCCCAAGGCCCCGGGATGCACACCAAGCCTTTTACTAAATAATAGCATCTATTACTCCTATAAAGGAAACAAAATTTTAACTTACAAGAAGATGAAAGAGGTTTTGTGTTGTTTGAGTGCTTGCTGCTAGTGTAATCTACAGGTCAAAAGAAACAGGATTAGATTAATTTAATGTCACGTATCCTTTAAAGGGGGGGGGGGGTACAATGCTGTTTCATGCATTCAGAGTTGTTTACACTGTTAAAGAGTTGGATTCTCATGCTAAGCATGGACAAAGTTTCAAAAAACAATTTGGACTTATGACAGCGTATTTCTTTGCCAAAAATCGTACTTCCGGGCTCGTACAAGTTTCCGGAGCTGCGTCCGAAATCGCATACTTCCATATTATATAGTAGGCGAAAAACAGTATGCGAGGCGAGTAGTATGTCCGAATTCATAGTATTCGAAAAACAGTAGGCGAGAAGTACCCGGATGACCTACTACTTAATACCCGAATTCCGTAGCATGCATACGATGAACACTTTACTATCCCATGAGGCCACGGGAGAGGAGGCGTCATATTCGAAAACGGCGGAAGGCGGCGACGCGGCTCTTTTCAAGTGTAAGTACCTCAGGGGAAAACGTTGTTCGTTGTGGTTAAATTGCACTTGTTTAACATGATCTAATCAATGTTAAAACACCGATGAAAGCAGTAAGAATTACGTGAAACATTGCTGATGCTCGCGCAGTAGTGAGGGCCCTTTAAATTTTGGCGCTCTTGTGAAGATTCATGTCACGTGAGAACATCAACATGGCGGATGTAGTACGTCCGAATTCCATTCATACTACTCGCATTCATACTATATAGAACGTACTTTTTTAACGGTCGAGTAGTACGTTCTAATTCAAATGTAGTACCCAGTGTTGGGGGTAACGCATTACAAGTAACGCGAGTTACGTAATCAGATTACTTTTTTCAAGTAACTAGTAAAGTAACGCATTACTTTTTAATTTACAAGAGAATATCTGAGTTACTTTTTCAAATAAGTAACGCAAGTTACTTTTTTTTCAAATGTATTGATTGACAGCTCTGGTGTTGCCATGGTGAGAGAAATCAGATGTTACTGTAGTTCTAAAATAAATATGAATATGCATTAATTCACCGATTCAGTATTCCTCAAAATGAATAAAAATAATCCAATTCAGAATATGACGCAAACCTGCAATAATTAAATGTTAAACAACACAAATATCCTTTATGTATTTAATCCCATTCTATTAACCAATGTCTTTGCTTCTGAGCTTCGATGATCCAGTTCAACCGTACTAATAAGCACAAATTACTCTAGACAAACATTTGTGTCTTTTTTTTATTGCTGAAGTGTGTTGAAATGTCTTCTTCTGCATTCTACTGTACGGACGTAAATGTACTTTCCCTTCAGCCTGAGGCTTATTCATTTCACTTTTCGTGTGTATATGCTTTTATATTTGCCAAAAATATAACTTTTTTATTTTAAAAACAAACAAGCAAGCCCTGTCCAGATTTAAAAAGTAACGCAAAAGTAACGTAACGCATTACTTTCCGTAAAAAGTAACTAAGTAGCGTAATTAGTTACTTTTTTTTCGGCGTAACGCAATATTGTAATGCATTACTTTTAAAAGTAACTTTCCCCAACACTGGTAGTACCTACTAAGCAGTATGCGATTTGAGGGTTTTTTTTCGATCGTGGCTCTTCATGACGTAGACGAGGGTGGAACTCCTTATATGGGCATTTCTCACGGAAGAACGCGCCCGCGCACGCATCGACCAGAGCGAGATCGCGCCCATCAAAGCGCTTCATCCGGCGGCAGCGCTGCACGGGACTTACTCGGGAAGAATGTCTCCAATCCAAAGAAGTGTGCTTTTGGTTGTAAGGGAAAGATAGCTTTGTTCAGCTTCTTAAAGAACCCAGCGTTATGTAAACAGTGGATACAATTTGTTTTTCCGGGGCAGCAACGGAGTTTCACAAGTGTGTTTGTTGACGAACGTTTTATAAACAAGGCCCAGTTCGACGCTGGATTTGCACATGGTTTGATACTGAAAGATGGAGCAGTCCAGCTATAAAAGATCCCGGTCATGATTCAGAACTGCAGACGGTAAGTGAAACGGCATCAGATGTCTGTTTTGTTGGCAGTCGGAGGCGGAGCTCAAGTGCTCGTCACTCTTTAGCTCCGCCCACGGCACGCCTCCAGGAGCTCGGCTTTTTCTGGAGAGAATCATAAAGTTGTATCTTTCTTTTATAAATATGATAAAACTAAAGACTTTTTGGAGATATGAAGGATGCAGTACTACTCTATAGGTCCTCAA